CAATTTGCTCTCGCAGTTGGTAATATGAAAAACTTAGGTTCGAAATTATATTACGATATCAACCTGAAGAAAGTGACATAAGGGTAACTGTTATATTTAACTGTTTCCAAACAGGAAGAAGGGTGGAGTAATGGATAGCGGCTCGTACTGAGGAATCGAAGAGCCGGGTTCGACTTCCAGTTGAGTTCATTGCATTCACTTACATGCTAATACCATTTGAATTCATCTTTTCTGTGAGTAAAATTACAAGACAGGCTAGGTCCCTGGTTGATAACAATTCAACCTGCTACCGGATGACAGCTTGTTTTCAAATATGCCTTGTCTGATTTGACAAGGGAAAACACCGATTCAAAACTTTCGCTGTCTTGCGGCTATAACTACTCATTGGGAGACACTAAGATAAAGCTCGGGGTCTGGATTCCTAACGCAGTTCGGTGCTGTATTTAACAACGTCCTGGCAGCTCTTGCGAAGAAGGCGCTGAAACGTAGACGTTTTAACCCTTTCGCTGACTTGAAGAGACCTACTGAGTGGGTATTAGTTTATTCTTCCTATCTATCTACCTACTCGGTAAAGGATGTTTCACAGACGAGAAAATAAACTGTTAGTATAGAACTAACGATTGCATCTATCTATTTCAACAGTAAAACTGAGACCTTGTTGCCAATCTAGTAGCACGCTTAAATTCATACAATTGATGTACAAAAAGGAACAACTCATCGGTACAAAAAGTTAAGAAAGAAATCCCCATCGTACCTGTTTAAGGAAAGGCTAAAAGAGGGTAACTTAAAAAATGAATCTACCTCGCTTGTCGTCTCGAAGGAACTGACGCTCCTACTTCGAGCCGCGACAGAAAATATTAAACATTAACCAAAAACTTGTCTTGTCCTTCAATGGACTCGTTAGATTGAGTTTTTCATATGGACGCCATACATGGTGCCACGCTCTTTCAGAAAAATCTAAACTAGATACAACTGCTTTACAAGAGTAAAATAAAAAAAAAAGTGACTTCGAACAAGTGAAGTGTAGGTTTTGGCGAGGATCATACTTATTTGAATCTTGTGGACTGCTGATCATTCAGTTATGTGCCATGCATGATACACGCTTAGGAGATCATGTGTCTTACAATACATAACTGACTAGGCAGATTTTTTTTTCCGCAGTAGGTCGCCATTTTACCCTGCGGTAGACCAGTTGCCATCCAAGGCTATAGAACCTGTTCTGTCCTGCTATTTACCCATAGCTGGGGAGAGAAAAAATGGATTCATACCTTTCCCAAGGGTATTATCACGTAAGTGAATGTGATTGGTTCGACTGGAATTGGAACTCGGCTCTCCGATTCCTCAATCCGAGCCGCTATCCATTACTCCTGGTGCTACAGAATCATGAACAAAGAACTCTAGCTGATAACAGAAACCACATCACTTGATGACTTTCAGCAACAAAATGTGTATTACACGTTAGGTTCTGAAGGACTGGCGCTACAGAATCACAAAGAACTGTACCCGATAAGAGAAATCACATCACTTAAGGACCTTCAGTAGCGGCAACAACTAAAATGGATACCACAAGTAACTCGAAGAAAAAATAATGAGAAAATAAATGTTGACGTTCCACTTCAGAGAAAAAGTTAGGAAGGAAATCCCCATCAATACTGGCAAAAGCTATAACAGTTACTGGACTTAAGAAACCTATTTTCTTGAAAAATTGTTTTATAGAAAGATTTTACGAATTTTTGCCAACAGTAGTAACTATCTGATCGGTTAATGAATGCCAAATATTTTTTATAAGGAAATGGTTAATATTACAACAGATACTACACTTGCCTTAGACTTAGTGCAAATCAAGCGCCATGGAACCCTTTAATTTCAGACCATTCGCTCATATGTATATCCCCTAAGACGCTTTAAACGACTAAACGTACAGAAAATATTCAGCATTTATCGTTACTCTCAATTAAAAATATATATATATATATATATATATATATATATATATATATATATATATATAAGTTTATTCTTAATTTTTCAGAAAAATAGTTTTCTGAATTATACTGTTATCGTTCTGTCTATTTTTTTTTCTTATGTAAAGTCGCCATATTGATGACATCATTATTTTTCTTTCTTCATATGCGCTATACATTCTTGTTATTGCTGCTATTGGAAGTCTTCAAGTGATGTTGTTTGTGTTATTTGATAAACAACTTCCTTTTGTGAGTTTATAGCGTAATGGTAAAAAGGCGCAAGGAATAACAGATCAAAACTAAATAAGAGATACCCCTAGGCATAGATAATCTAAATCCGTAGATTAAATGAAGGGTTCAGTTTGAAATTGCTTGCAAGTTATCTGGATTAACACACTTGAAAAAGTCCGAAAGGTCGTAATAATAACAAATAGTTATTAGAATAAATAACTCATGCCAGAAATTGCGATGAATATAATTCGTTTCTTCAAACAATTTTGTAAAGGTATATATCGTTTCGTTTTATTTCTTGTTTCGTGTTTTCGTTGTTTCTTTCTCTTCGTTTAATAACCGGGATCTGATTACTTTCGCAGACGATAATTATTTCAAGACTTTAATTTGGCGTCAGGTTGTTTCTAAACAACAATTATTTGATATTTATTTCTGTCTGCCTCGTCTTGTCATTCCTCTTGAGCTTTTAAAGATACTCTGTGTTTAAGTTGGTAAATATAACTTGTGCCTGATTATTTGTTTTCGGACTTTCTCGTTTGTCTTTTGTGCGCACGCGCGGGCACAAAGCTGAGGCAGACAATTCGCGGCGGTTTCTATGATGACGAAATAAAACCTTGAATAAATATGTCTGGAGACTAATTCTTAAGCGTTAATTCTCCATTTCCTTTTTGTTTGTGGGCGCGGCAAAAAAATTATAATATATATATATATATATATATATATATATATATAATATCTTTGTATATATTCCAAGATTAGCATAGTCTGACACAGGGCTATAATAAATGATCACTTGTGAGAATCGAAGTAACTTTTTTTAATCAGTTCACCCCGAGGAAATGCAATTGGTTTACTGGAAGTGAAAGAGAAAGTGAAAACTGTAGAAGGAACCGGAAACCCAATCGTAAACAGGAGGCCAGGGATCAACCTCTGCTCAAAATACCGGGGAGGAGCGTGAACCGGACGATAGGCAAACCTCTCTACTCCTAAAGATACGTTGCTAATTATTGCTATGCGTTCAGCTCTTAACCATAGTCGTTTATATGGCTTAGTTTTTGTTTTTTTTATTGATTCGTTTTTTACGACTTATCAACCTTTATGCATGTTATTTAATGCAAGAAAATATTTTTACTTGTAAAATTTTTTTTAGATGATAATGGTTCAGTGATACAAGTCTTACTAATTAACCCATAACTGGGGGGAAGGGGTGGATTCACACCTTTCCCAAGGGTATTTGCGCATGTGAATATAACTGACTCAACTGGAATTGGAACTCGGCTCTCCAATAAAAAAAAAAAAAAACTGAGCCATTACTCATTACACCACCTATACATACAAACTTACAGCCTCTTATATTCCCAAGAGAAATACTGATCAGGCTCAATTTCAGTGATCGTCCGGGAACCGGTGTTTCAACGTGATGGGGTCTTATTTCGGTGCTTTTAGCTCCTGAAAACTAATAATCTAGATTTTTACTTATTAAGATAAAAAGATAGATGATAATTTCTTCTTTTATGTGCCGTTTCCCTTTATGAAGTGGGCGATCATGGCTCTCAAAAACTTCCTGTCCTTTTTAGCTATTATAGAAGATAAATGCACCGACAAAGAGCTAGATTTAATTACTTGTATCAGTATATTCTGACACAAGGCTACAGGTGAATATCAACATAAAAAAGTGCTAAATTCATTGTGCTTCTCTGTAGGGGGCGAATGTTTAAGTGACTGCTAACGTAAACATTTAGCAATTTTACTCTGCTACAAAAAACTAAAACTAAACTGTCTAAATTTTTATAATTTCTGATCATTATTTACTTATTTATTTATTCTCTTTGCCTTTTTTGCCCTTTTTGCCTTTTTTGCCCTTTTTGCCTTTTTTTTTTGCCTTTTTTTTTTTTTTTTTTTTTTTTTTTTTCTTTTTTTTTTTTTCTCTTTTTTTTTTTGTCCTTTTTGCCTTTTTTTGTCCTTTTTGCCTTTTTTTGTCCTTTTTGCCTTTTTTTGTCCTTTTTTTGTCCTTTTTGCCTTTTTTTGTCCTTTTTGCCTTTTTTTTGTCCTTTTTGCCTTTTTTTTCCCTTTTTGCCTTTTTTTTCCCTTTTTGCCTTTTTTTTCCCTTTTTGCCTTTTTTTTTTTTTTTTTTTTTTTTTTTTTTTTCCTTTTTGCCTTTTTTTTTTCCTTTTTGCCTTTTTTTTTTCCCTTTTTGCCTTTTTTTTCCCTTTTTGCCTTTTTTGCCTTTGGGCTGTTGTTCTTTGGTCTTCTTCAGGTGCGTGTCGATCCGGGTAGCGTTTTAATCTATTGGATTAAGGCGTTGGTTTGTGAAGCTCGTGACATATTAATTGGGAGTTCAATCCTTGGGCCGAGTAGTTCAAGCATAGACTTAGTGAAACAGGGGGAGTAATAGTTGAGCAGTATTAAATAAGAAGACTAGACATCCCTAGCCGTGGACAAGCGGGTCGCGATTAGTCTACCCTCCTAGATTAAATCAAGGGCTTAGTGTTATCCTGATCGACAAGCCCCTGAAAAATTTCGCATGGGGACAATAGTGAAACTATAATTGTATATGTTCATATTCTTTGCGTTTGTATCTTAACCACTAATGCTTTTTTTTTCTTTTTCTTTATAGAAGGCATATCTCCAGTGACTACCGACTATGTGGATCTTTTGCGGGTGATCGGCGTTCCATCACAGAATGTCACCTTTTCTCCGGGAATTGATTCCTTCCCAGCCTTCGGTCTTGATGGGACAACAATTTTAAGGGATAGCGCCAACGCCCTCTTTGGGGAGCGGTCGTACAATAACTTCGCTCTGACTATGGTGGTCAAAATAGAAAAGCCTGGCATCAGTTATATATTCGCTGTTGTCGATTCGCGGGAGATGGTCATCCAGTTGGGTGTTAGGGTGGCATCCTTATCGAACAACGCCCATAACGTATCTCTTTATTACACGCCGCTCGGCGTTGGCGCACCTTATACTATAAGATCTAACGTCTTAGCCAGCTTTAGACTGTATAATCTGCTCGGACACTGGGCACAGATTAATTTCCGAGTTAAGGATGACACTGTTCATGTATATGTTAATGGAACCAGGTTGGGTGAGCACATTGTCCAGAGGTCACCGTTGTCTATTGAGGATGGTTCGACAATTTACATTGGCCAAGCAGGCAGATTGCTGAGAGGAACCTTTGTGGTGAGTACTAAAATACTCTTTTTCTTCAGCTAGTAATATCAAAAGAGGGGAAAAATCTTGTCAGATTACATCGGTAGAACATTTTCTTCACCCAAGCAAGGCTATAAAGCCCCTACAATACAAGGGGTTACTGAGAATGAAAGAAAGATGTAGACAATATACGAAAAGAATTCAAGAAGACACATGGTGGCAAGTGGCATTGCATCTAAATTTTTGAAGATCGTAGTTGACAGGAGAGTGGTAAGCTCGAAGAGAGTTCCACAAGAGAAGTGTGAAGAAGAAACGGTTAACATGTAACTTATGGTTACAACAAGCAATTTCAACAGGGAAATTATGAAACCTATCTGCCAATCTAGTACTGCGCTTAAATTCGTATGGTCGGGATATCAGAACAATTACCGTAAAGATATTTACATAGGAGACAAATGAAAACTACGGTGGTTGGAAAGTGACTGTAGACGAGATGCCAGATCAGGACAGATAACATTGCTGATGGATTTTGTCAAGATTCTCTAGATATATAGCCGAAGCACCAGACCAAATGTGTCAGCAATATTTGAGGCACGGATTAATGGTAAACTTTTAAAGGATTAATTCTAGCGCGAAAAATGTTTAGCACGACATAGTGAACCGTATTTCCTGGCAGCAGACTTAGCAATTGATTCAATAATTTCATTTCAAATCAATGGAGAACGTGAGACCAGGAAGGCGCTGTGAGTTCCTCTTCTGGAGTTTAACATCAGCCATGTTGATGGAAACTAAAATAAGTTCTTTAAGAGGATTAATAAAGAACAGTTTTAGAAACGTTAAAATTAACACGCCACTTTTGTTCCAGTAAACAACAAATTCAATGTCATTCTCGAAATCAACTGCCAAATGGATTCTATCAGACTTACTATTAAGACAATAGTAGTTGTGTCATCCACCTCGGTAGCTAATCTGGAACTGAAGACATCAGGAAGGTCATTGATGACCCAGAATAGAGCTCTGGGGAATGCCCTAATTTATGCAAAATGATTTAGAGGAGTGGCTGTTCAGGAAAACTTTCATTACGCTGTTTGATATAAAAGATTGAATCAAATCGTAGAAATGTTCAGAAAAAGAATAACCCTTCAACTTGTGAAGAACACCAGCATGCCAAACCCTGTAGAACGCCTTCGAAATATCTAAAGCAACAACTCGAGCTTTCACCATTATTATCTAAGGTTTGATAGATTCTTTCAGCAAAACCGTCAACAGATCGGAGGTTGATCTAGAGAAGCGATAGGCATATTGTTTGTTTAAAAGACACTGTGAAGTGAGATGCTTAACCAATGTGGAGTTGATGAGTGCGCCTAGTACTTTGCAAAAGAGAGATAAAACACTAATAGGTCAATAGTTCGAAAAAGAAGACGCTTTTCTAGAATTCTTAAAAACGGAATCTGCAGATTTTCAGAAATCCGGAAAGCAAGAAGCCGCAAAGCATTTATTGTGGAGCTTGGAAAGAACAGGGGCCGGTTCGGTGTTTTTTTTTTTTGGTGGGGGGTGGGTTACATTTTTTAAGGACAATTGTAGGGATGCCATCAAATCCACGTGCTTCGTTTTGTCTTTTCATTTTTTGTTTGTTCATGTTTTCTTTTTACTAACAAAATATCTTAATATATTTTGTCGTAAACTGAAATTTTGCTGCAAATGAAGTTGTACAATGGATGTGCGGGTGGTGTAATGGATAGCGATCAGAAAAAGAAATCTGAAAACCCAGTTTGAATTCCATTCGAATTAGATGCATTCATTCTGGAAAAGGTATGAATCCATCCCAGCTAATAGATATTAGAAATATGAGTTAGGTAATAGAACAAACTTGAATTTTTAGCCTTCGTTGGCAGACAGTCTTGGAGAAGAAAAACTTTGAATCAAAAACCCGAACGGATTTGTTTGGAGATCTTGTGACACACTATACGCGCCAGTTCTCGGCATTCAGTTCTTCCAAAAAGTGTACAAAACTTCGCCATTGTAATTAAACTACATGTGCAGGTATCCTGACTTTTCAGTTCTAATAGCTCAACTGTTGAAGTCTCATATGATGAAAGCTACAGAAGAGTCTTTTTTTTTTTTTTTTTTTTTTACAAATTTTCCCCAAATACAAGGTCCAAGGGCCGCTCAAGGAAGAGGTTTACTGTCCGATGTGTGAAAGGGCAAGAAGTGAAGTTCATGGTATTATGCAGGAAAGGCAACAACTAACTATAAATTTGGAGAGGTCAAGATCTAATTAATGAATAGCATTTCAGAGTTCAGTTGGATACATTAGAAGTATAGTGGGGAAGTAGGAGTTTGAAGGAACCGGGAAACCTAAACTGGAAACGTGATAAACCTCTAATCCTGTTTAAAAGACCAAAGAGGTGCATGAACCAGACAATAGGCAAATCTATCTACTTCTAAATATAAACACAAAAGGAAAACTTATGTTAGTCAACATATTTCATCTTATATATATTACTAATGTTCACCCAATACAAGGTCCAAGAGCCACTCAAGGTAAAGTGTTACTATGCGATGTTGTGTGAGCATAAGAAAGGGCAAGAAGGGTCTGTTTGACAGAAATAAATTGATGATTTACATTCGTCAAGGAGTCCTGCTTTTAACTAATATAAGTATGAAGAGCGCGGAATTTTAATTTCTGGAAACTTCACAAAATTGAGTAAGTGGATGTAAAAAAAAAAACAAAAAAAAAAATTACCAAAACTTTCTAAAAAAAATAAAAATAATTTCAAAATTTCATTAAAATCCAACAATGATTTGGTTTTTGCAAGAATTTACAGTACAATGTGTTTTTAACGGTAAAATTTTCAATACTAATCTTTGTCCCGCCTATTCACTCAAATAAAACAAAACTTTTTAACCAAAATTTCGAACGTACTAGCAAGGATTTAAAATTTAATAAAATTATAGAAAAATGCTTTGGTCTTAATAATATAAACATTTTAAACATTGTTTTTTTTTTGTTTTTTTTTATTAAGTTTGGAGCTTTTTATTTTTCATCATGTTATGCTCTTTTTAGCGAATCCTTTGAAGTACCCGAGATATATCACATAAAATATTTAGAAAACCACCCTCCCTACTAGTGTGGTCTCTACCAAACGGGTATCGCCAAGCAGTCAAATTGGATCTTCCATCCTAAGACACTCTTGTATACATAATTATGTCGCTGGTAAGGGGAAGAAAAAACTAAAGAATGGTGGTGAATTGACACATTTTATATGAATATCCAACTCTGGCTTATAGCTTGCGAGGAGGAATTTTCTAGCATGCTAGAAAATATATATCGTTACAAAGGTAATTCTGATCATTTTTTTTTTTTTTTCATTGTATTTTTCTTGTATGTGAACAAGATTCTTTCTTTCTTTTTTTGTTAACTCAGTGTATGTAGAAATTGTGCAAATCATTGTTAGTTCCGAAAGTTTTCAACTAATATATTAACCCTTTTCAAGGATTTTGCCGTTGTAAATGGAGTATAAGTGCTATTGTAGATTGTCTAAAAATAATGGTAACTCTTAGTTGTGCATGTCTCTTTTTTAGACTTCAGAAACACTAAAAGTTTCAAGAGAAAAAAATTCAACTGCTCTGACTGTACGGAAGTTTCTTTGCACTCATAGTGAGTGTTCATTACCCTGGTAAGAGATTGTTGTGCTTAGAGATCCTTCTCACCAAAGTTTGCTACTTATAATTCCCACACGTGTCCAGAGTGATTAATAGTTCCCCCAACACCCAATCAGCTATTCTAGGTCATTAGGTCATCACCTAGAAGTGTATCCGTCATTAAAGTAAAAACAAAATGAGTTTGACAAACGTGGGGACAAACAAAAATAAGATGTTAAGATGACTGACGTCCCCAAGGGCTTTTCGTTCGCTACGCGCGTTTTTAATTCAATAGTTGTCCTTAATATTGAATCATTGGTACGTGAAATGAAATGTGCATTTTTATATCAAAACCTTGTTTTTATGTTCTAGATTTTTAATCTGTCTTGTGTCCACGATTTCTTGCTAAACTTAAATTACTTTTTAGTGTTTCATCGCAAATAATCATCGATTTTGTTTTATTCTATTTTATTTTCCTTACATGTATAGATAATAGTGCGTTTGGTGGAATACTAGTGATCGTCTTGGGTACGACGATAAACTACATCCGGCAGCAAGGCCTCTGATCGGGAGGTTTTGAGAACCACCTTCTAATTGCAGTTGTTCCCAGGTCCACTCTGACCCGGAGTGGTAGCACCTGTTAGGGTCCTAGCTATAGGCAAATAATTAACCCCTGAATTGAAGTCAAAACACTATAAAAATACTAGCAATACGTCTTTGAAAAAATATTAATGACAATACAATTTTGGAACAAAAGATATTAACACTAATACATTTGACTCGCGACAAAAATCCTCTTTACAAAAATACGTCAAAGGAATCTGATGATCAAAAGAATACAACTTCTATTCGTACGAACCTATCCTGGAAATCTTGCCAGCATTAAATAACCCATTGAGGTTGATATGCTATAAAATAAACCGAACGAAACCCACAAATGTCGCATGCATCTATAACCTAGCTTGAATCCTCTGGAGCTACAGAGGTAACAGTACCCTTCATCAGTGCATCAAGAGCCGAAACGGAGACTATTGCATGGTCCATAATCTAATTAGAAAATAACAGTACAATAGCGCTGATATAATACGCCTTCTTCAAGTTACTGAAAGTTTCGGATCCCAGACTATCAGGCGGAAAACGACAAAACCAGGAAAACGTCTACTTCCTGCACCATTAATGAAGGGACAAATAGCCCAGATAAGATACAGGCCCTAACCCTGATACCCTGAGTGCACGTGTCTCGTTTACCCAGAAATCAAGGCAACAGAATTTCTCCTTGATTTAGAAACATCGTACTGATCTTGGAGCTTTGGTACCGAGGCAAACTCTTTCATATAGGAGGACTAAAAGACCCATTGGGATAAGGGCGGGTGACATAGGCTGCT